CTCCTCCCTTTCGCCAAGTTTGCCTGTCTAATAAGTCGTAATTGACATAAAGTAATGGATGAAATTAGGAAAAGACGTGGTCTCCCCTGTGGTCAACTGTGTCTTTTGGAGTTGGTGCAGAATACGTCTCTGGTATTAGAGAGTTCACGGAGCGAATCATTCTGAGGAACCATGTCACACAATTGCATAGGCCAAAAACTTCAAAATAAGTGAATTTTAAATGAAATTATCCCTAGCAAAAAAAATTACTCAATTTCCAAAGATAACTACAGGTGTTCGCAGGGGATACCTTACTAAGGAATTCTAAGCTTAATCAAAAGATTGTATCATTTATTGCATCACAAATGAATTGAAGTTACTTTATTAAAATTAATGAGCACAAGAGCAGGGTGTGAAGAAGAAGAAGAAAAGGCCCCAAAATGGAAACCCAATTGTTAATAGTGAAAGAGAGAGAGACAAGTAGTAATAAAGAAACGCACCAGCAACACTGCCAAACATGACAGCCCGACAGAGAACACGAGTTCGGAGTTTCATGGCTTCATCTCGAAGTGGACAACTCTCCTGAGCACCATCTTGAGAAACTCCATTTGCTTGAACCTGCGAGCCGTTGGGCCAGAGAACATCACGAAGAATACCCGCGTAGGTAGCCATTTGCTTAGCACTGATCAAGTTCTTAGCCTGAATACCCAAAGAGAGAAAGAAATGTTTTAACTAAGGCTAAACGGACAAAGGGTCTCACCACTTTTCGTGTTCGTACTTTTGTGAACTCGAGGTAACCTAGAATGACTTAAAGCAGTTAGAAAACTGAAGTTGTCATAATTAAAAAAAGAAATAGAAGTACACACACCTCTTCTTTTTATTGATTTCTGACTCCTCAGATATCTATGATAATCTCAACGCCAACAGCGAATGCAATGCACTAGGAACTATCCACAAAAATTCTTAACTAGATAACACCCCCCAGTATATTATAACATTATGAGATACATTCTAATAATAAGGGGAGGGGGTTGAGGCAGGATATGAAAGTCTGGATACTACATGGAGGATTACTGCGCTTAATTGGTCATAAATTTATTAATGCCCAATTTTATCGCCAGAATGGAATGATAATGATGGGTCGTTCGAGTACGGAGAATTAGTAAAACTATGATAGTAGCTTTGGAGAGTCCTTAAATAACACGAGCACATTAGTAGGTCCTGGTTGAAGTACCCGCCAGTTGAAGTAGAATTAACACCATTTCAAATAATATCAATAACCTCCAAAAAATGAAATGCTTCTCAAGCATTCAGAGACCTTTCCTGTGCCTGTATAAAATTCAATCAACCCAATGACCACCATCCAATAGTAATGAATGCCATTGCGACGCAGATACGAAGCTCGATATTTCAAAGTATGGGGTGTGCTATAGACTTTTCTCCACATGGTGCACCCTGAGCAATGTGTACTCAAACGGCTGAAAAGTCTATTAATCGGCAGTTGACTTCTGACTTCAAACTACCATCACCCAACTTCAAACTGCCCACGTGGTGCACCCTGGGCAACGTATATTCATACGGCAAAAACGTGGTGCACCCTGGGCAACGCATACTCATACGGCAAAATGTGGTGCACCCTGGGCAACGTATACTCATAAGGCAAAAAGATCCCTATTAACCGGCAGTTGACTTCTGACTTCAAACTACCATACTATTAACTGGCAGTTGACTTCTCACTTCAAACTACCATCTATTAATCGGCAGTTGACTTCTGACTTCAAACTACCATCAAACCACTGTATGTCATATTCGACTACTTTTACGGTACTCACCTCACCTTTTTCTACATTTGTGTCTGTCTCTTTTACATCTTTGAATCACTCTTCTGTCTCCCTTGTCTCTTTTACATCTTTGAATCACTCTTCTGTCTCCCCCATCGACTTTTTATCACTTTGATGCTCCTTCCCCTCTGTGAAGCCTGCAGTCAACTAAGGGGCTAATGATAACCATCAAAACGCCTGCTATTTGATATAAATATTTTAAAGTAGAAGCCAGTAATAGGCTTATAGTAATTAATAAAGTGGCATTGATGCATAATTCGGGAGGATTGTAAACAGGAAGGCATGTACTAAATGAGATAACATAAAGGAGTAAAATAACTGAGACTACCAAGGTGAAATCGAATACAGGACTGCAATTAAACATACAACAAGCAAATAGCTACATGTCGTAATGGTTAAGTCGAATTTCAAATGTTGTAATAGCAATGACTCCACACGGATACCACAAATGAGTTGAGAAGATAATCATGTTTACCCCATGACAGTTTGGGATACTACTACGGCTTTGATCTCATTAGAGTAGGATTTAGGATTCATTCTCATGGAGGGATGTGTGCTATCGAATATACAATTGTACAACGTAAGGCGAACCAATGCAAAAAAAAACAGGCGACATTCCCTGGAGGGTTGCTTAAGGCAAATATGAAGAGGACGCGAAACGACAAACCTTTTCAACAATCCGACGATTCATAATATCCCCAAAGAAGGTTTGAACAATGTTTCGAAGGATAGCTAAAGTGCCACGTCGAAAGAGTTGGGTCTTGCCTTGCAGACTGAAGACTTCATCAACTAGCATGAAGAGAAGGCGAAAGGGAATGTTGTCGGAATCATTCTAAAAGGAAACAGAAATGGCGTATCGATATATATTTCATTGATTAAAAACATTATTGCTACTATTACTACGTAAAGTGAGAAATAATGTCCCATTCTTAACTATGGGGAAGTGACGGGGCGCAGTAAACAGAAAGTTTAACAAAAAAAATTTGAGAAGAACCTCGAAGTTTCAACGAGACTTGCTTTGTCTGAGCTTTCAACTCAAAATATGCTGCAAGTGGGCAGGCAACCTTAAAAAATGCCATGATTTGTCCATTGGTTTAGCAGTAAATCATTCTCTATAATGTATTATATTTATTGAAAGAGTTTTTTAGCAGGGAAACATTTATTTTGCGGCTCTAATTCATTCTTCCAATGGCAGCAAAAAAGGAGAATGATATTCAAGAGTTTACAATCCTGGAATAGTAGGGAAGAGGCAGGGCTATAGACGCAAAGTTGGCAGAACCACAAGAAAACCTCGCTTTACTAGTAAATGAACTTTAGAAATATCACTGTACTCAATTAACTCCTTCTCTCATTGACCTGGTCACCCCTTTGACAGCCTTCTTTTTGCCTAGGGGTAAAGCAAGTAACTTAAGACGATATTGCCAAATGGAACCTTGAAATAATTTCAATTGTTGATGAGTAACTCAAGTACATTTCATTCCAATAAAGATTTTAACTGGTGGAAGAGGTAGGTGATACACAAATAATTAAACTTACCTTACTCGTTTGAAGACGTGAATATAGTCACTTAAAGCGAAAAAGAAACAGAACTATTCTAGCCCAGATAATGTGCAAAATTAAAATCGTCATCACTGCAATAGGGCTACATAAACAAGTCATTTTGTTCCAAGTTTGTGCTGGTGGTGGAAATTAACCAGACGGAGCTCTAAAATGGCACTTTCTTTCCAAGGTGAGTGTTGAAAAAAAGTCTTCCTTAAAGGCGCCGGAAAGCAACAGGATTACGACTTGTATTCAAAAGTGAAATGTAAGGAAATCGAAGATTGCTTCCCAGGTCATCAATCCAACTTTTCACATCTAAGCGCGTCTGAATAGGTCCCTATAACTAAATGGACAGCTATTCAATCCTCGTGACAACTCAACCACAAAATACCCGAAAGTAGATCAATGTCTATCGGTGGATAACTTGAGGTGTGATCAACCACACTGATTAAGTTGAGTCAAAAAGAAGATCAATAGAATGAGAATTTCTCATTAAGGCGACACTAGATTACCCACCCTCTAAACAAGCCAAACGTTGACAGCATTTACATTTTTGACGTTTTATATGATACGTCAATGGCAAAAGAAATCTAAGACTTACCTGGTCGAGGATAGCAAAATTTGATGTGTCACTGACAAGAGATGACCGTGATGTCATCGACATTGTGGGGGCGGAGACATTGGAACCGGCATCGGATCGATCAGTAAGCGGGCGACGATTAATCATCTTGGAGAAGCCATCGAAGAGAGTATCAGGGACGGAGATAATCGCTGAGCCAACCGCTTTGAAGGGATTCATTAGAGAAGATGCCTGAAAAATAACAAAGTATCTGTGGTGTGGCGAGCAATGCTTGACACTGACAAACCTATAGCTGTCCTGAACACAGTAGAAGTACAGAGGTACATTTTTTTGCAGAGCCCTAACAAACCCATTGACAAATCATGCTGATAAGATTCGACAGATAAGACCTTGGTAATGTGCTGCTGTTTAACAGTGAAAGGTCTCCAGCTATTAGACACCTACGTAAAAGCGAAGATAAGCACACACTTTCCTGGATAAGGGGATCTGAATTATTTCCACACGCTACTCCTGTCTCTATACAGTACGCATAATGACACACACTGGCTGTCAGTTGATAATTTTAGACAGACACCAAATGCGTAAATCCACAACTCCATCGTTAAGGCTTACACTTGTGCAAGCCTTAACAACCCCAGGGTCGCCACTCACTCACTCACTCACTTGGCTCTGACGCCTTTATTATTCATGTGAAAAAAAAGTTGAAAAGAAAGCTCCTAGAGTTAAATACGCGAGTGTAGTAAAAATGGGAAAGAAATGTGTAGGGGGGGGGGGGAGAAACGATTGCTCTGATGATGATGATGCTACTTGGAGCCGATTCAACCCCATAAAAAGACAAGGTAGGAAAAAGAGTGAACGAATTAAAGCGATAAAGAGAATGAAAAAAATAAAAATAATAAATTGAATAGAACTTACGCCTTTCTTTCTCTCCCATTTTTCCGATTGAAGGAAATCGCTCAAAATTGGATGAAGCTTCGGGTACCTTCCAGTGGTGTCAATTCCACAGAGAATCTACAAGGAAAAAAAAGGCTAGGAGCTTTAAGTAATGTCGAATTGCAAATAACTGATGCTGTCTGCCTACATATCTACTCGCATTGTTGCCCGACTCAAGTGCA